CCGCCGCCAAGATGGCGTCGCTGTGGACAAGGCGCGCCGGTGGCACTGCGCGGGACCACGGGGTCGCGGGCCTCGGAACCCAGAGTAAAACGCCTAGACAGATGTGACCTGTTTTTACCCGAGGAAAGTGTTCTTCCTGACCTGTGCTTGGTTTATGTTGTAAAAGCAACACAGAGGACGTCACTCGGTACCCAGAGGGCGACAGATTGTTCTCGAGGTTATAAACCACGGCTAACATTTGTGGCTTTGCCAACACGAGGTGGAACCTTTTACCATGTTACGTGCATTTTCATTTTTCATTAATCCCCCTTGGCCTCAGGTTTCCACATTATTGAGAATGGGTGAAAGCCCCTCTCGCCTGTGGAGAATTCTGCACAAAGATGAGTGGTGGTTTTGAGGGAGTTCAGGTGTGCAGCCCATTTGAGGACCTGGCCGTCTGGCGTAATGAGCCGTTCCTGTAGTTGACCCCTGACTTCCTAGCTTCAGGTAACATTGTCCCTTAGCTAGATGAAGTAGCACCTTCCAGAGGTAACATTCTGGAAGCATATGAATTTCCAGCAACCATTTTGCAGCCTGGGTTTTTTTCACGGAGGACAAGCAAAATTTTTGTAGCCTTGGAAGGATAGTAGTCTTACCTAATACACTGCTTATTAAGCAACTTGCTAGGGGATCCATGCTTTTTCGTGGTTCTCTTTTCTTCTATCCCCTTACAGGGCAGATATCGTCCTTTCATTCTGTTGTTTTCACAGGTGAATAAACAAGCTGAAAAGGTTGACTAGCCTGAAGGTCACCCAGTCAGGAGTGGAAGCAGAACTCATACCTATGATTCCCAAAAACAAATTTGAAAACATGAGAAATAAACACCCACCAACCCACCACCTCCTCCTTCCTGTTTTCAAAAATTCGAAAAGTACTGTGACATTTTTGAGGAAAATAAGATGTTGATGAGAGTCCATCTACCAAACAGGAAGCAGGCTTTTTGATATTTTGTTAGAATTGATGATGCAGTGTGAGGACTTTGCAGTTTAATTTAGAAACCTTGATTAGGAAGTATTTTTAATGGCAAACTTGTTAGGTAGAATCCATTATTCTCAGAAAGCCTTTAAATAACTTACCAGAGAAATGTTATGATTTTTTTCTTTTAATTATGTATGCCTCACTTTGTAAGAATGGCACAATTAAAGGAAAAGGTTTTAAGTAGAGGGATGAGGGGGATTATTCATATAATGGTCTCTATTAACATTTTGGTCTCTTGTGTGGGTTTTTTTAAAATGTTCATTTTAAATTAATATACACTAAAAAGACAAAACATAATACCAAGAAGAAAATCAGGGCCACCTATACCAACTAATACTTTGACACATTTCTAATTTTTTATTTTTATAGGTTATTTTTGGTATTGGTAACTTTTAAATGTATTTTTTGCAATAATGTACAACCTAACCAAAATTAAAAATATAGAAAAACAAAAGCACAGTAATAGTCTGATGGGATACTGGTATTAATGATTGATATTATATCTTTCATTGTCTTCTAGCTACATTCGATTCTCTCAGATCTGTGCAAAAGCAGTGAGGGATGCCCTGAAGACAGAATTCAAAGCAAATGCTGAGAAGACTTCTGGTAGCAGCATAAAAATTGTGAAAGTGAAAAAAGAATAATTTGTAAGTTACTGACTTAGAAAAGTTGTTTTGGGGTTTTTTTTTTTTTTTAACCTTTTAATAATGTTATTTGTTTATGCACAAACATGAATAAACAATCATTTAGGAAGAAAGAAAATGACACATAATGTTACTAACTCTTCAACGTATATGTTGGGAATAAGTGAATCCCAGTTCTGAGTTGCTTTAGTTCTGTAGACAGTTCCTTGTTGTTTGCTTTTTGTTTTTGTTTTAGTAGTAATGTTTGCAGCACATATTTACATTCACTGTAGGGGATTGGTACATGTATGTTACACAGATTCATTTATCTTAGAAGACCTTGTAAAGTTAATTATATATGCAGATTGAAAACCAGACTAATAGACCAAAGACCATGCAAAGCATGCAAAATGTTTATATAATCTTTAGAGCAACATAAAAAAAAAATCAAACTAATTTTAGTCAATGCATTTCAGAGTTAGTTATTGGGGTGGTGATTTAAGGCATATAGGTTATAGAAGTCTGTTGGCATGATAAAAGAATGTCCTTTCAAACCCTGACAACCAGAAATAATAGGCACGTTGATTTTCAGTTCATTTAGCAATGCTTAGGTAGTCATCTTATTTTAATTAAACCTGTTTCATTTACCCAAAATCAAATAAGTTGAAGGAGAAACTCCCCACTTTCGTAATTGCTGTTAAGCATTATGTAAGAGTTCAGGAGCATGAAAAATTAAAGTTCTTGGCAATTTTTATTTCCCCACATCTGCTAATGTCCTCACAAATCACTACTTCCGAAACTTGTGGCTGCTGTTACAGGCAAGGATCCTGCTATTTTATCAAGCAGACCCTTGCTATTTTATCTGCAAAACCCTGCAGTGAGTGCTGTTTTGCTAAATTTATTGTGCTTTTAGAATGTTCATTTTACTTCTGCCAGAGATGTTAGTGATGTGAGTTACATTCTCATGCAATAAGACGGTTCCGTAAAGTTGACAAGTTCAGACTTATGTGCTTCAGACTACAAAAGTGATTTGATCTCTCAGCTCCTGTCTTAAGATTGTTATTTCAAAGGCAAGCAAGGAAAATGATCAGAAATGTTTTTCAGATTTAGTTTTCTTGTTTTGCTTTTAAAAAGCCTTGGATCTACAGTAGCACAGAAACATGATAAATATTAATCCTTTGGCAGCTTGTGGTTATGAGCAATTTTACTTATTGGAATTGTCTCCCCTCAGCACTTTTCATTTTCTTTTAAAGTCTAGAGATGTGGTATTTGGAATTTAGCCCTTTTCTAGGGGTTCTCTGGCCAGTCTAATTGTTGGTCATAAGACCTAGTTTGTTGTCGGGTGGTTCTGTTGCAGCCATGAGCTGACAGAAGCCTCTCTGCAGCGGTGTGGTGCCAGACACTGCATCCGACTCCCACAACATTGCCGCACCCGTGGGGTCAGGAAGTTCTGTCCAGCTCCTGCAAAGCGTTGTTCCCTCATGTTATGCTCTGCAGCAGCGAGTGCCCCACTTCATTAACACAGGGGGATTTTAGTGTCTTTTAAAGGCAAAATAGTTTTTTTGTTTGGTTTGGTTTGGTTTTTGCAATTGGGAAAGTGCCTCCTCGGCTGAAGCTGTTCATGCAGTCAGCCAAGGCTCACACACCCTCCCATATGAATTGCAGCCACACTTGTTAACAGTTCATATAAGGAAGTTATTTTTTTGTTGTTGTTGTTCATGTTGAATGTTTAAAAGAACCAGGTAGCAACTGCCGTATTTTCTTTTTTCTTCCTAGACCCTGACTAAAGCTTCAAATGTTACATTTTCCCGTGAAGATGTGTGGGCACATGTTATGGCAGATTAAAATCAGTGTCACTTTGTGGGGGAAAAATACCTATCTTGTTCATGAATTGATGGTGCCAATAAAGTGATATGTGGTTCACTGTTACTGGTGGCTTTTGTTTTCTTTTGGGACTTTCTTTATAGAAGCTACCTCCAAAACTGCACGGTTAGAACCGTATGAGACAGGGCTTAGAGGAGGGAAAGGTATGTGATTGATTTTTAGTGACCAGAAAGATACAGAAAACATTCTTTAAATGTCTCAAAATAGAAGATTGCTTCTTTTGATAATAGTTGATAATCAAAATTAGACCTTATCATTGAGGCTTTGTTGTCTTTAATCTTTGAATTGCAGAGTCACATTAGAATAGTTCTGTCATCTGCCTCTAAATAGTGCTGCTTAGCCAGTAACCTCAATGAGAATAATTACTGAAAGCATACATACATTAAAGGATAATTGCTAAATTAAATGTAGTAATCATAGCACTCTTTTATTGTTTAAATAAAACATTGTTATTTAAAACCTATGGAAAAGAATTATTAACATTAGAGTTAAGGCACAAAGTGTTTGTCATGTTGACTTATAGATGAATGTATTTCCTGGTAGCATTTCTCATAGGAAATGAGGCAAAGCTGTTGAACACCTTGTTTTTTGCATTGATGGCTGAGTTAAATTCTGAGCTGTTTGCAGGTCTGGAGCACAATGATTAGAACGGTTTTGTGATATTTTAATGGTCCTTCATTAAGGATGAGCAATTGTTGCAGGTGTTGTTGTTTTTACTTTTTAAACTTGGAAGCTTTTGGCTAAGTAAAAGATTGCAATGTTAATTGCACGTTTTAACTTTTTAAAGAATGAAGAAATGAAACAGGAACTTTTAAACAATTCTATAGCCAGTTCTTTCCGTGATACTTAAGCTCACAATAATTGATCAGGGCCGAGGAAAATGCCTTTGTTCTCAGTTCCTCGGGATGACTCCTGCCCCTGACACTGGTTCCACAGGTTTCATTGAAGAGAGGGAGCCAGTGTGTTGTACAGCAGCGAGTCAGGAGAGCCTGGAGTCGCCTCGGCACCGGCAGTCATGCTGCTGACAAGTTAGAGCACCCGAGTTCAGCCACAGTTCAAGATTTGAGGTACTAGAAAATATCTTCCATTGCAAAGGATAGGAATAAATGAATTAAAAGGCTATAGGGCTTTTTAAATACCAAACAAAGTAGCTAATTGGGCAAAGGGATAAATTATTTCCAAGCAAATAATTGGAGATAAGTAAGTCATTTATTAGGGAAGCAGATAGGATAAGTACAGGTGAGACATAAGGACAGGGGTTCCAGTATGAAAAGGATTAACTGAATAAAAGACAAATTTTACTATCCAACAAAGATTCTTTGAGGTTTAAAAAAAAAAAATCCTGAGCTAATACTGTGATGAAATAAACTTCTGCACCTGGCAGCTCAGAAATATGCAGGACAACCACACAAATGAGAAGACCCCAATCACACTGAGTTGTGGACATTTTGCTAACTAGGGGGATTGTGGTTAAGGGAGTCAGTTAATTGTTCTCTTCATGTAGTGTCCTTGTGTGCGGAATGAAGGAATCGGACAAACTCTCAAACTCCATAATCCTGCTCTGTCTCTCAGAGACCAGTGTCACCATAGCAACCATACCACTAAAGGAATAAGCTCTTCAAAATCAGGGAGAGAGTTGTCTGGGCTTCTAGTCTATTGTTTTAATCTATTGGTAGCACACGAAAGAGTAGGATGGTGAGATACATTTTGAAATATTTTTAACTAAAATTATAATCTGGGTAGTTAGGTTCTGAGAAAAGGAATTTAGTCCAAAATAAAGCAATTCAGCCATTTAAATTTGAATTTCTTTGTACTTTAATGATTACTACTGAGCAAACAAACATCTTTACGGTAATATAAATCAGCATATTTTTTTTAGCCGGTTTAAATCTATATCTTTGCTTGCATCTATTTTATTGCCTTTTTAAATTTGAGAAGGAAAGTGCCAGAGAAATCAAACGTCTTAATTCTTATCTGATCACAGATTATCTTTTTAGTATTTAAGGAAGTTATTCAAACTAAGAGTGTATAGATGCAGTTTCTTACTAAATCTAATGCTTCTTGAACCACACACAAATAGGAAGTGTTTAAAATGTTATTTTGTGCTTGTTTAACTTCGTAGATAGAAAGCTTGGCAGTGAGACCCACAGCAAGTCCTAATTCTCTCTTGATATGCATCTGTTATTTCCTCATGATCACAAAGGAAGAGAGGGAAGGTTTTCAGAATGAGCAACTCTCCATCTACCTGTTACTGTATTACTGCTGATTACAAAAGCACATCAGGTTGTGAGAACCTAGTTGCCTGCAAGTAAGTATTTCAAAAGTGAGGGTCGGTATTTTCCGAGTACCCATTACCCACGATCAAGTAGTATCACACAGTGGTCGTTCTAGAAGGCCGTCCTGACCCTGTACTGGAGGGGATGGCAGTCGTGCTGCATGTCATACATAGGTGAGCAGTAATGAAGTTATGATTTGATTATGCTCTTGTGTCTTTGGTCCTGTTGTAATGTGAGCAGATTAAAATCGTGTAATAGTTAAAGCTGTGTCATCATGCAAACATTTATGGCAACTTGGGCCTATTAATTTGAACTGTAAAAGTTCCCTAATGAGATAATGTCCTCCGTCACCGAGAAGGGCACTGCAGCCATTTCTGCCTGATTCCCACATTAGGTGGTTGCCGAGTGTGTAATGTGCCCTTTCTCAGAGGGCTTAGAGGCTGCAGGGGGTGGTGGGGAGGATAAAGAGTGAACGTTTCCAAATCACCTTTAGAAGGAAAACCAAAGATGACTATTGAGTTTCTAGAATCTAATTCAAACAAATTAAAATACATAAATATATATTCTGAAAATGGTTCCTCAGAAATAAAGAGGATTTTTCAGTAAATTGGAGTTAGTTAGTTTTGTCCATCTTATCTTGCTTTTTGTGTCTTGGCCAGGGATTTCTGTGGAGAGGTCTGTTGCCTTTCCTCCCTTTCTCCTTTGCAGTTAGTGCACTGAGGGGTACATAAGTCCTACACCGGTGACTGAGGGACCCGGGCCCTCATTTCCCTCAGCCTGCAGTCACCTGGCTTTTCTGGAGGCCGCAGGCAGAGGAAGGCAGGCTTGGGCAGTGTGTGTGAAGTGGAAGAGACTGATGTAAGAGGCCTGGCAGCACTGATGATGAAGGTACACATGAACTGAGCAGCTCCTTGCAGACCTGTACCCTGGCACAAGGCTGGGCATGCAGTCGGTCCTGGAGAGTACTCGGGGACAGAGGCAGTGTTTCATAGTCCACTCTGCTGTTACAGTGAAGTTAGTGGGGTGCACGTGGCATATCAAAGCGGTGTGGGCAGTTCCTGGGCAGAGACCCGCTGCATCAGCCATCCCACCCTAACCCACCCCCGCCTCCTCAGCAGGGCCACAGCACAGAGCAGGCTCGAACCACAAAGCACAGACCCGAATCCAGATGACTCCCTCACAGCTCAGGTTCCTTATCTTCTGCTCCCATGTCTGCCTCCTCCACGACCTCTTTGTTTTCCTCCAGAACCGCTTTGGCATCTTGAAACTGTTGGTACTCAGACACCAAATCGTGGATGTTTCTTTCAGCTTCCCCGAATTCACTGACATCCATCCCTTCACTGGTGTACCAGTGCACAAAAGCTCTCCTTTTGAACATGGCCGAGAAGTGCTCCGAAACCCTGCTGAAGAGCTCTTGGATGGCTGTGTTGTTGCCTATGAAGGTGGCCGCCATGTTCAGCCCCCGGGGTGGGATGTCGCAGACAGCCACCTTAACATTGTTAGGAATCCACTCCACAAAACAGCTGCTGTTCCTGGTCTGCACAGACAGCAACTGTTGGTCCACTTCTTTGGTGGACATCTTCCCCCGAAAGATGCAAGCCACGGTCAGGTAGCGGCCGCGGCGTGGGTCGCAGGCAGCCATGGTGTTGCGGGCATCAAACATCTGCTGGGTAAGCTCAGCCACAGAAAGGGCGCGGTACTGCTGGCTGCCCTGGGCTGTGAGTGGAGCAAAGCCAGGCATGAAGAAGTGCAGCCGAGGGAAGGGGACCATGTTCACTGCCAGCTTGCGCAGGTCTGCATTGAGCTGACCGGGGAATCGCAGCGAGGTGGTGATGCCGCTCATGGTTAAGGACACCAGGTGGTTGAGGTCCCTGTAGGTGGGCGTCGTCAGCTTCAGGGTTCGGAAACAGATGTCATAGAGCGCCTCATTGTCGATGCAGAAGCAGGCGTCTGTGTTCTCGATCAGCTGGTGGATGGACAGCACAGCGTTGTAGGGCTCCACCACCGTGTCCGACACCTTGGGCGAGGGCATGACGCTGAAGGAGTTGAGGATGCGGTCGGGGTACTCCTCCCGGATCTTGTTCATGAGCAGGGTGCCCATGCCCGAGCCTGTGCCCCCACCCAGGGAGTGGACGATCTGGAAGCCCTGCAGGCAGTCGCAGTTCTCACTCTCGCTCCTCACCACGTCCATGACGGTTTCTATCAGCTCGGCGCCCTCGGTGTAGTGGCCCTTTGCCCAGTTGTTGCCAGCCCCAGAGTTACCTGTGGTAAAAAGGTGAAAAGAGGGAAAGGTGAGGCAAGGCAGGCACCACTAGGAGGCATCCTAATCTCTTCCAGGTAGAACCTTTGGAAAAACCTACCATGGACAAAACTGTCTGGTTGGAAGAGGGCGCCTAATTTGCTGGACCGGATGCTGTCCATTGTCCCCGGCTCCAGGTCCACCAGCACAGCTCGGGGCACATACTTTTTACCTGAGCAGAAAAACAGGAAGAAGTCAGCAAACTGTTGTTTTTCTAAAAGTTAATGTTTCATCAAAATGAAACCTTGTGATACTGGTTTAAAAAGCACAAGTATTCTAGAAAGGACTCGTGATCTCCTTGACCCTAACAGCAATCACACAGATCTTTAAAATACCTTTTCAAAAAATACTTTCTCATCGTTGCTTTGCTCATTATATTCCAATCACTGAGATTCTGCTCCTTCCTATTGTGCATGAGTCTAGTTATCATTTAGAAACTGAAAAGTTTGTAAGGCAAGTGCTTTACGGCTTGTGACCTCTGACCTCCCCCCGCCCCGCCTGCCTCATGCGTAGGGGCGAGGACCCCGCACTCAGGACCCTAGTGACACTTGGGTCACGTGAGCCTTTGCTTCTCTGCCGGCCGCCAGCCCACCATAGGCTTCGTTGTAGTACACGCTGATTCGCTCCAGCTGTAGGGCAGAGGCCCCGAGGTCACTCCCCATGTAGTCGACGCCGTGCTCCTCACCGATCATCTCCCAGAACTGAAAGCAGGAAGAGGGGCGAGATCAGTGCAAAGCGGGGCGGGGAAGGTGTGGTCTGCACCCCACAGAGGCAGCACCTCAGCCCCATTCTGCTGGGTCTGCCTCACCTTCCCCACGCCAGTTTTCTTACTCCTCTCATAAGTGACCGGGGCATAATTCACTTTTTCCCTCTACCAACTGTGAATATAAAGATTGTGTCTTCTACCCACCCAAACTCCAGAAGTAAAATGTCAAACAAAATATTAAATTGGATTTTTTCTTCTATTAAATTCAAGCCATTATACACATTAAAGCTGTCGTTTTAAAATTTTACATCAGACAGTGTATCTCTAATTTTGCCTTGTGCTCCAAGCTGTTAAAGAGTAGATCCCATTAAATGAAAATAAACGGGATTCTTATCTGATTTCACAGTAATACCTTATTTCACTTTGGGAATTTCTTTTCATGAGGTTTTCCAAAAAGCCCATAAGCAGGACCTCTGTGCATGATTTTAAGTAATGTGCATTTTTTATTTCAGGCAAATACATAATTCAAAATTATATATAGCCATTCTTTTATAACAGTTTAGAACATACAGCAGTTCCAATCTCATGTACAGCATTTATTAGTATAACTGTATGTCAAGTTCTTAATATGGACAAAGTTACTGGGATGACCCCTTTTGATCACAAATTAAAGTGCATTGGAAATATATTCACGTAAGTCCAAATCCCAACCATATTTTACTTTCCCAACCATATCTTACAACGATGCCTCTGGTCTGGCCATGGTCTTCATAATGAAGCTCTATTTTGTAAGTTACCAGCACTGTTTAGGATGTGAAAGGATAAATAAATGGAAGTTCTGAAGCAATAATTTTAATGGGTCTCTAAAGTTTTTGTGATCCCCAAATCAGTCGTTGTGGGGCTCCAACCATTAGGCGGCACAGTCCTGTCTCATCATGTACTTCCTCTCAGGGCCTCTCTTCGTGTTACCTTTCTGTGTCAGAGTAGGGGACTCGTCCATTGCTTCTCCGTATGTTAGCTGTGAACATCTGTCATTCGCACACGAGTGCCGACAGATTTCCGTGCAGTGCTCTTCTTTGCCCCATAAAATTAAAAGTCCTGCCCTGACAGACCTTAGGCTTTTCATAGCACCGCTGTTCACAGTACTGAGAGATGGAGACAACACAAATGCCCATCCACGGATGAAAGGGTTGGCGAGGTATGGTATGCGCATTCACTGAGATATTATCAGCCTTAAGGTGGGAGTCCGATACCCACTACCACAGCATGCGTGGGCCTCTTACAGCATCATGGCACCTGACATATGCCATTCTCAAAGGGATAAATACTTCATGATCCCATGGAAATAAGGTGCCTAGAGCGATCAGCTTCTTAGAGAAAGGAGAGTGGTTGTTCCCAGGGACCTTAGAGACAGAGTTCCAGTTTTGTAAAATGAAAACTATTTTGGAGATTGGATTTAAAACAGTATGAATGGACTTAATGCTACCGAACTGTACACAAACCCATTTTAAAACAAATTTTATGCAACATGTTGCTTTTCAAATTTCCCTTTTAAGGCTGCATAACAGCCCATTGTATGGATAGACCACATCTTGTTTATCCACTCATATATTGCAACAGTTGTTTCTACCTCTGAGCTACTGTGAGAAATGTTGATGTGGAAAAAATGAAGATCTCCTAACATAGATGTTTTAAAGCCTTACTTTTAATGTATTTCATAGTAGTAAAAGTAATTTGAAGATAGCAAAGAACAAGTTAGATAGGTGTCACACAATATTGTTGGAGTTACAATTAGGACTGGAGATCTTAGGCTCTAACTCCGGTCTTCTTGGTGTTAACTAACTGAATCAGATACTTGGAAGACATTTAAGCAGTAAGCCAGAGTAGAGACAAACTCATTTACATCTCAAAGGGTGTGTTTTAATGATTTCTGCCACTGCACAAATCCGTTATTTTGGGCTTTCCTCCTTAATTTTTTGTTTCATACTAAATCAACTTTTTTCTGTATAACATAAACGTGGGATGGAAAAGATAAGACTATATTGATATGGTGTCAAAAATTTCCTGACAAACCTTAGAAAACTTTTGAGATAAATTACTGTTTTTAGATATGAACGTTCATTACTAAAACGATAAAAGAAAAATGGTTGACATGTATTATCCACATGTAACCTCAGACAAGAGTACTTAGTTAATTGACCTTCTAAGTCCTTCATAATTCCTGTACCTGTGTAACGACCTTGTAATATGCTGTGAAGCACACACATGCATTCTGCTGGGCTCTTGCTCTTCCCTGCTAACCTGGGTCATTTTGTCACTGACTACATCTATGGGCCTGGGGAAGCTGGTACAGTATTAACAATCAAGCTTTACCTACCTTAGCTCCGATCTGGTTGCCACACTGGCCAATTTGAATGTGCACGATTTCCCGCATCCTTGCTCTAAGCCCAAGGATAAGGTCCTAAAATGCTCAGACTCCGGGAGAGGCCACAGTTCACCAAGTATGAGCTCAGGACGGCTTCAGGCACTGCCGTGGTGAGAGTGGCTGACCAAACTACCCTCCCGCTGGCCCAAGGGTGTGCCCCGCCCAGAGTCCAGCCCACCCTCTTCCCTGCTCTCTATCACCCTTCTAGGGGATATTTTCTTCCCCCAGCAGAATATTGCCCCATCATTTCCTGGTATGAGCACAAGGCCAAAAGTTGCCCCTGCACGGTGCCTGGAGCGAGCACCATTCACAGGCCCTGCCATGGTGGCCTCTTCACTGGCACTGGCTGTGGTGCCCCTGTCAAGTGTGCCCCTGGCTCCCCGTCCCCCTAAGTGGACAGGAAAGGTGTTCCCTGTCTATGTAGTCATCTCACCTAAACCCATCCCTTGGCCTCTTGTCTTCCATTGTGTTTCCTAGGGAGCCATTTGAAAGCCACTGGTGCCACTGAGGTGACTTTGAGGGGAACGTAGGTGGACACTATATTTTTAGATCAGAAACTTTAATGTTCATAGAAAAATAGTACACATAATAGCAGAACAAGCATGAGAAAAAACTTCCTTTTTGAACTTTACTGAAGTTGTAAAAGTGATGTGATTCTAAAGAGCATGAGACACCATCAAGACATGATCCAAACTCCACAGTCTGGCATCCAGGCCTTCCCCGCCTGGTGGCAAAATGTCTTCTGGGCCCCTTTTCTAGACATCGGCCCTCAGAAACCCTGTGCTATGACAGGAGCAGAGAAACTATCCCATAGGACTTGGACCAAAGGTGGCATGACCCTGGACCCAGAGCAGAAGCCCTTAAGGTCCTCGCACCCTGCCCTGACCAGACCAGTGACCTTGGCCGCAGCACTGGAACAGAGCCTGGAGCCCTCCATCTCCATGTGTGCTTGTCTAGACAGAGCTAATGTACCCAGCAAGTGCACCCCGATCCTCGCCAGATCCTGCACAGGGAATAAGGTTTCTCTAATGGACATCATTAGGACCCTTGTCCAAATTCAAATGTGACCTGAGTATGGAATGATAATATTATACCCATTCTATTTCCTGATTCTGATCATAGCACAGTGGTTCCATAAGTGGAAGTCCTTGTGCCCAGGAGATCTTGCAGGGCGTGGCACTTCGGGGTCCTGTCTTTACAATGCCAGCAGCTTGCTAAGACAATCACAATGGTGCGATGAGTATGCAGAAAGCCGCTGGCCAATGCAGGAAGACAGAACAGGGGCGATCTTTTTAAAGTTCGGGCAAGATCAGTACTTTTGTGATGCTTCGGTAGGTTTGGAATTGAGTTCTACATGAATCTGAGTGACCACATAATTCTCAGGTGCTTCTGCCCCACCCAAGAGTGGTAAAGAGGAAAAGTGTGAACTCAGGAAGAAGAAATGCATATGTGCCCCTCGGGATTTCTCACAAATGAAATGCAAGAAGAGGGACCCTGGAGCTCTCTGGAGCGTGAGCCTCTCTCCGCTCGCCCCGTGCCTCCCCGCTTCTCTCTTCCGTCTCACCAGGCTCTCCTGTCTTCCAGACCCTTCAAGCTGGACGGCAGCTCCATGTGACTGCCTCGCCAGAGACCCCTGCTCGAGGAGAGTGTGTAAGTCCACAGTGGCCACAGGGGGTCCTGTTTGCTGATGTTCCCTCCACATGCCTTATCTCCCCACCAGCAGCATCACCTCTGAGTCCCCAGAGTGCAGGGCCTCAGCAAATGTTTGTTGAGCGCACACTGACAGCTGAGTGCGTTAGAGCAGCGATGACCAGAGCAGCTGGTTTTCTTAAAGCCAATAATATATTTATTCAGTAGTATGAACTTCTAATGGTTAGGTGGGGACCTAGGACTCCAGGACTTTTTCCTCCATTCCTTAAGAGATGGTCTAGGCTGAAAATATGAACTGTCACGAAACCTGGCCTTTGGGAACAAATTGGAGGGAAGATAGCCACGGTGTGGTATTATGGGAAGCCATGGCTGTGGTGGCCCCGGCCTCTGGGGCAGAGCAGCTGAAAAGGATCGGTGTGGCCACATCCAGCTCTCTGTGAGGACCACTGGCCGGGCTGGAGAGCATTTTTGACCTCCCTGTGTTCATTCTCCGCAGTGTGAGCAGGACCCAGTGTGCTGTCCCCACCACCCTGCACATTCCTCTTGGCCGTCTCAGTTTGCTTAGGGAGGGAAAAGCCAGGCTTCCAGATGGGTGCTTAAAAGGCTTTTCTGTTAATGGGGCAGTTGGCAAGTGGGGAGCCCTGTTTGCTTTGATTCCTGTATCGCCAGCAGTGTTTATTCAGTCTCAGCTGGGTTCTGAGCTTCGGATGCAGGGCTGCAGAGAGGACCGGGCAGGGCAGAGACAGCCAGGGGCAGGGGCAGGGGCAGGAGCCCAGTTCTGCTGCCAAGGGGGCCCATCTTCTCCCTGACCCTGAACTCCTCTCATGTGTAAGAGGGGAACAGGCAGGTACTGAAGGCCAGCTTTGAAGCACAGAGGGGGCAATGCGGCTATCTGCAGAGTGGGCCCCCCTTTCCACACCACGACCCTGAGCAGGAGCCCCCAATCAGGCTTCAAACTTGCATGGGCGCAGACATGAATCTCAATGCCTAGGGAGAGCGTAAGGCAGGAAATGTTGTGCATTTAAAGAGCAGTCTCTCCTGTCTCAGCCTTTTCGTATGGATGAAGGTCCTGCTCCCCAAGGAAGGAGTTCTCTGATTCCCAGCGAGGTGAATGTATCGTGCCGTGCCCTCTGCCCAGCAGAAGTGGCCTTTGGCCAGGAAACAGATGAGTGGAGTCCCGGAGAGGCCAGGCTAAAGGTGACCCCCGGCCCTGCACTGTGGCAAGCGATTAGAAGCGACCAGCTGCGATGAATAACAAAGTTGTTTTCTGCCCCCAGAGATGAGCTGGGGCAAGGGCAGGTGAGCAGCGAGAGCACTCCAGGGCAGAGCTTGGTCTGACGCTGCCCAGGAGCAAGAGCTCCTCTCAGCTTGCACGGTGAGCAAGCTGGGTAACTGCTGCCGAGACGCAGATTCCTAAGCAGCACCCGCCTGCCCTTCGCCTGAGACCCCTTCTCTCGCCAATGTGACAGCCGTCACTCATAAGAAGACTCCGTGGTAGTGAGCCTTTTCCTGGATGACACTTGGGTCTATTATGGGACTAGAACCAAGAAGATAAGAAAGGCTGAGTTGTCACCCAGAAACCCCCAATCAGCCTCTCCAGACTTCCCCAGGAACTGTCCCCAGGAATCGGATGGAGCACCCCAGCACCCCGTGGCAAATGAAATATAATTCAGAGAAAAACAGTACTCAGAATTCATTGATTTCATCCACCCCTGATCTTCCACTTCTGAGTACAGTGAAGTTCCTTGAATAACTCTGAGAAGATTGTTGAATTATAGTGTTTGCTTGTGATTCAGAAGCAGAAATTTTTCCATGAAAGTGACATCTGAGGGGCCATTATGAGTGACTCAGAGGGAGTGGGCAGCCCCTCTGATGAGCTGAGCTCTGTTTTCTTGCACCCTGCTTCCTTGTGCGTTCGCTTCCTGGTAAAGAAAGTTCTGGGAGGATGAATAAGTAATTTCAAGAGGAGAGGGGCTGGGAGGACATTGATGTTTCTCACAAAGCTAAGTCCTCAAGCTCCATGGCAGTCTTCCATCTTCTTCCCAGGACCACAGCGTAAACACACCGTGGTGTTCATACCCGCTGCTGGCCGTGGAAATGCCTGGCCAACTCTTAGGCACCTTGACAACAAGCCTCCTGAGCTGTGACATCTCGGACTTACAGGAGGAAATGCACGCACGCGCGCCCTGAACGCCTGTGGTTCTGAAGGTTATGGGTGCTCCAGCCTTCTCGGTTGCATCTTCCCTGACTCCCCAGGTTTGCGGTTGCTGATAAGCAGGGTTCTGTGGTGAGGTCCCTGCACCTTGTAGAAGTGGAGACAGAGGCTCAGAGCAAGTCTTCAGACCCCTCCCTCTGAGGGTCCAACAAGGTGTCCAGAGGCAGGATGGCTGGATGGCATACAGCAGGGAATCTCGAGCGCCCATCATGTGCCTCTCGGCCCTCTGCAGGCGTCTCCCTCCCTCTCTGGCAATGCTTTTCCTCCACTGCCATCCACCCTCCCTCCGCAGCTCCCAACAGACCACCAGGGCCACCTGCTTCCCCTCTACCCACCGTCCATCCCCAAGCCCCAGAGAGAGCTCAAGGACACAAGTTAGTTCTCGCCCTCGGTGCTCCTGAAGTGAGCAACAGCCAGGGTGAAATCTAAATCTCTCCTGTGCTGGTGAATTCCTTCATCGCCTGAGCAGGGGTGGAAAGTCCTGGGGCAGAAGAAACCAAGAGAGGGACCTGAGGTGGGGGGAGTGGACCGGAAGCTGTGAGCCAGCCTGTGGGAAAGGGCCCTGGGCACCCTCGGGGTACTGCAGCCCGATGGCCTGGCAACTCTGTGGACTCCCCATGGCCTCTGGCTCATCGTGCCTTCCAGAGTCCTCACTCACCAAGCCCTGGGCCAGACCCTGCCCTTTCTGCACATTCCATGGCTGTGGCCTCATCATTCAATGCCAAGTCGCAGGCTACTGGAGAGTGGTCTGGACCAGGCTGTCCAGAGGCCCCCGGCACTAGGGTCACCCAGTTTTCCATTTCCAAGCACCTTTAACTTCCCGGGCTCCTTTGCATGCTCCTCCAGCAGAGTGTACACTCCTCACCGCCAGGGGCCTCGCTCAGTTGCTGTCTCCAGAGCTGAAAGCAGAAGTCTAGCACCTGCTAGGTGCCTGGGGCCTGACTTTCCAGGGCAAACTCTCCAGTCGGGGGAATGTTGGGGTGCCCCTTAGACCTCATGGGCAAGATCATAGGCAGGCTGTACACCAGGCTCAGGTCAGTATGTTCTGAAGGGGACAGTTATGATGCCAACCTTGTAACTGGGCCCCCAGGGAACTGCTTTTACTCCCAGCACTGCACAGCACACCGCAGCACAGCCAGGCAGGACTGTGCAGCATGTTGTGCTTGGGGACAGTGGCAGGGTCAACTACAAACCTGAGCCACTCAGTCTTGTCTGCCTAGGCACCTGGAAACGGGCACAAGCTTCTGGCCATTGACCCAGGGCATCAAGAGCAGCTGTGCAGCTGTTGAGGAGACCACTGTGCCCTGCAGAAACAACCAGCCTACCAAACGCTGTCAGCAGCCATCAAAACAAACGCCATATCCAGGATGTGGCTCAACTCAGGAATGTGGAATCATAGGAAATGTCTGCAGCTTGCAGGGTGGGAGCCAGACAATACAACATGAAGGAAGAAGGGGAGAAAAGATTTGGAGGTCACTCCACAGCGTACCAAAGCTCATCATCATCCTTCCCCTTCACTTGGGAGGGGGGTCTGGCCCTGGACTTACTAGAAAATACATGTGCTGTTCTTTATTAGGACAAGGGGAAAAAAATCAACCTTATTTTTAGAAATGAATAGGCTTTTGTGTCTGTGGCCTTGGATCATGCATTTACCAAGAGACTTAGTGGGATTTCAAAAAAACAGAAAAAGATCAGATTCAAATCTCTTTCCAGGAGCCTGGTGCTGAGTGCAGCTCTCTCGGATGCTCAGTCTTCCCAACTGTAAAATGGGAAGGCAGCACCCCCCCCAGCAGGGGGCTGTGCTGAGAATCAAAGGAGACTGCAGTCCTCTCAAACCTCCTCAGCTTGGCTCTGCTCTTAAGCACCACCAGGATCGGGAATGATTCAGTTACTTCCACAGAGGAAAACTCTAGGCCGGCTTCTCAGGCAGAGTGCTTTGTAGTGGTTTGCAGGAAGATGTCCAGCTCCCACATCCCTGCTCTGATCTTCCAGGCCAGACAGCAGAGGCACACACTGCACATAAAACAACAGCTCACAGCACCAGCTCAGCAGAGAGGGTGTGGGAGGTCGGGAGCCTCCTCAGCACCAAGCCACAATAAGAAGATGAGTCACTATCCACCAAATGACCTCACGGCCCGCAGCCGTGTCAAGAGAGAACACGCCTTTGAGACTTCCAGGAGACCTGGGGCCGCCAGGTAGGAGAGTCTGTCAGGGGAGAGATAAACTCCCCTCCAGCAGTGAATCTCCCAGAGCAGCCCGTCCAACAGGTTCTTCAGACACAGCCACCTCTCCTGAGGCGCCAGCAACCTGCTGGCTTTTTCTGAGAACATCTCTGGCCAAGATCCTTCACCAACAGCAGCTCTAGAGTGGAATTCAAGTTTGGCAGGTTGGTGGATGACCCTGCGACGACCTCCTTGGGAACCTCTCAGAAGGACCCCTCCTGCACAGTTTTAGGGTCTCCCAGAGGTGCGCTCAGCCAGCTTCTCAGAGCAGCCTGCTGTGTGGATGCCCAGCACCAGCGGGAAGGACCAGACCCTGCACGCACTGGGTGTCGCCGGACACGACTTGTGGCAAGGCGCTGAGAAAGAAGACACTTGAGTCACGTCAAATATCACTTCCCTCTTCTCAGCTTGAGAATCATAGACACAAAGAACAGACCCCCTCCTTCCCTCTGGTTCCTCCATCACTTTCTGAGTTCTGTGTCGTGGAAATCCTGGAGGGCCAGCAACTTTTTAAAAATTAATTTTATTGGTAAACCTTTGATATACGTAATGATACATTCATCGTAGGGAATTTGTACCTGTGCCTAATATATCTTGATTCTTCCGTTTTCCTCATTCCCCTCTCTTTTCAACCCCTCTTCCCCTCATTTACAAAAGCTTTGTTTCCATTTCTTCCTTCTGTCCTTTTACCCCTTCCTTCTCTCCCCTCTTCCACTGCCTTTTTCTCCCTCCCAGCTGAGCACTTTCTTCTGACTTCCCAATGTCTGTTATCCACTTTGGTCCTTATTTACCCGCGCAAGAGAAACAATGTGATATTTAAGTATGTGTGTCTGATTTATTTCACTTAGGAGTATGGTCTCAAGATCCATTCATTTAACTAGAAATGTCTCAAGCTTATCCTTTATGGCACAGTAGTGCTCCATCGTATATAAAAACGACATCTTTATCCATTCAGCCATTGAACACGTGGACTTTTCCCAAGATATAGCTATAACAAATTGTGCTGCTATAAACATGAGTGTTCATATATTGCTCTGGTATTAATGCTTTTAACTCTTTGGGAAGATGCCAAGAAGGGGAACAGCTAGGTCAAATGAAGCCTCTAGTTGTTGGTGGCTTTTTTGTTTGTGTGTGTGTTTTAGGACTCTCCACACTGATTTCCACGGTAATTGCACCAATTTCCAATCCCGCCAACAGGGGAGATGGGCTCCTTTCTCTCCGCAGTCCCTCCAGCATTTGTTGTTGGTTTCTTGATAGACATGCTTTCTGGAGTGAGATGGAATCTCAGTGTTTTAATTTTCATTTCTCAAGTGATTAGTGATTTTGAACATTTTTTCATGTATTTATTTGCCATTTGTACATCTTCATCTGAGAAATGTCTGTTCAGTTCAGATGCCCATTTTGGATTGGGTCTTTAAATTGAGGGCAGGTTCTGATTTTTTTTTTTTTTGTTCTTTATATATTCTAGATAGTAGTGCTTTGTCTGAGGAGCAGCTGGCAAAAATGTTTTCCCATGCCGTGGGTTGTCTCTACTCTGTTGCCAGTTTCTTTTGCTGTGCAAAAGCTTTTTAATAAAATGAGATCCCAGCTGTTGATTCTCTGCAACATTTCAGGTGAGATCGGAGTTTTGTTTTTGTCTTTGCCTACACCAGTGTCTCCAAGAGTTTTACCTATCCTATTTTCCAGTAGATTCAGTGTTTCTGTTTTAATATTTAGATCTTTGATACATCCCCATCTTAGTTTAGTGCACAGTGAAAGATCTGGGTCTAGTTTTCATCTTTGGCAGCTTGAAATCTAGTTTTCCCAGCACCTTTTATTAAAGAGGCTGTCTTTCTTCCAGTGAGGATGTTTGGCCCCTTCGTCAAAGACAGGTGGCTGAGTTGTTTGGACTACTCTGCAGTGTTTGTGCTGTATTCCTTGCTAGCCTAAAAACGTTCCTCCCTTTAACCTGTGCACTTCGAATCCGAATCTGCAGATAAGCCTTGTAACTCTTGACTCAGGAAGCAGGACTGTGGCGCTCTTTGTGCCCACGACCCCCTGCAGTCAAGCCAAAGACAGTTGCTATCATCAGGCCCGGGATACACGATTAACAGGGTCCGGACACGGCGACCTTTGCTCCGTCCCCTTACCGAGTAGGCGCCCTCGCGAGCTCCGGCTGTAACTGCTGGGGTCACATGTTCCTTTTGCAACCCTTGCGAGCCAGAAACTTCCCCCAGAAGGAGACCTGTGCTGAGGACCCTGGGCATCCACGGGTCGTCCCAGCTCACCCAAGGCCTTGCACCAAGGACCCCACCTCCACCGTGTGTGGAGACCCCGATGAAAATCCACGGTCCCTCCTCTAACCAAGCAAAGGAAGTTACTGTGTGGCCTGCTGATGGTGACTAGTGCCCACCAGGAGCAGGAGAGAAACTCCTCAATTGTGAAATGGAGCCTTCAGGGTCCCACTTCTGCTTTGGGGTCATTGAGCAATGAAGAGTTTGGTTAGCAGGAAATCTTTCCAAGCATCCCCAGAAGTTGGAGTACAGAACTTATGATTTACGAGCCAAGTGAGAACTTCCCTTTGGCCGTTCTCTAGAAGGATCTCGGCTTCTTTCTCTGGAAAGAGCAGTCTCTCCAGGAGGGCCGGGCCTTTGGGAAATGGGGTTCAGCGTATTCCCAGAGGCCTGCGCCGGAGAGGATGGTGCGGGAAAGCGCAACCCGCCTCGGCCCAAAGTCAGGGTCCCGCCTCACGACCTCGCGCGTGACCCGGC